TTAATAAGTGTAAAAACAATAATGATATTAATTGCGTTAGTTACCAAATATGGTTGATCATTCAATGAATAAAATATTTCCCATGTACGTCATTGGAGTTGTAGTATGCTATCTGGTATCTCTTCCTTTGGAAGAAAATTTAAATAGTATTAAAATCCTATTGGTGGATATTTGTACTTAAACACTTCCGTGATTTCATCAGTGTAATGCAGATTAATCTATGATTTTATTTGAAAAAGAAATCTGTTTGTTGGGAAGACACGTTCTAACTTCAAAGAGAGGTATATCGGTTACAGTGTAAGTTTGATTTTTCCTTCGTCACGTCGCGTCAGTTCGTATCGTACTTCTAAGCCAATGAATAACCCTCTAGCACAGTTTTGAGAAATTGGTTGTGGGGTTACTGTTAAAGTTGGAATTCCTTGACATGGGGGATGTCAGTTAGATGTCTCAGCCTTATCAGTTACATAAAGTTGTCAATATAATCTCTCTACGGAATGTTAGGTGTAGTGGAATATACTTGAAGTGAAGTTGGGTTTTATTCTTGAACTGTTAAGGGCCTCCTCATTTATATGGTTGTGCAGCTTCATTGGCAAAAAATAATACGAATGGTAACATAGTAATGTGGCATTTCCAAAAAGCAAAAAATAATGTAAATTTGTTGTTACCTGTAATCGAAGTAACCTCTCTGAAAAGTCTTCAGTATATTGCAGCTTTCCAGCTTAATGACTTTATAAATCATGCACATATTTCTACATAAATATTGTAAAATGTTTTATCCAGTCCCTGTAAACCACTATTAATTTTTTTTAAATATGGACACGGCTCAAATTGGCCCCGTGCCCTTCTGCACTTGTATTACTTTGTATTGTATTACGCAATCGAAGATTTTTCCAATGATTGAAAGCATGTACAGTATGAGAATAATCTCATGAACCTATGATGATCCGTCTAGAAAATATGATAAAATAAAGGGAAAAGGTGTGAAAAAGGCAGACATCAACCCGTAAAATAGATATAAGATAGTTCAATAAGAAATAATTTTAAGATTTATTTTGATAAAAGGATTTTCCACCGATTCCGTAATGGAACTTTATATTGGAACACATGACATGATACAGAAGAAAATCAATTTTAAAATCAGAAAATAACATTGCAAATACTTCTTTTGGGCTATTCTGTAACTCCCAATAAATGTGTGTTGTTTAAAATACAATTTTAAAATTAACAGCTGTTTTATTAAAAAGTATTATCCACATGACCAAAATGTAAACAAATCTGTTGACGGATCTTTAGAGGCTTCTGGGGCAGAGCCCTAAGCGAATTTACGTAGTTTTTCTTTTGATAACTCATCTAGAGACAAAGACCTTTCTTTGGACACCTCCACCAAGTTTCTACGCCCAGCCGTTCTCTCAAATTAGTGGAGACAAAGTTTCCAAATAAATATTTAGATTCCCCCATGTTAATCTTATGGGAGAAAATCCAACTTTGATGGGAGATCCTGCCCAAACTAATAAATATATCAAAAAACTAACAACACTTTGCAAAACTACAGATCAGGGCAATTTTTTTGACACTTTAATCATCAAAATCGGTCCAAAAATGAGGGAGGAGTTCTGTTCACAAAAATCGGCTTAGCGTATTATATATATAGATTCTGTATTCTGCCTGATAATTTTTTCCTCATCGTCCATCCCTTCCCAAAGAAACTTTCTTTTTAAGCCCTCCTTTTCTCCGTAGTCAGTTTGACTATTTCTTACTTTTAAGACATCCAAATTCATCTTCTGAGTACAATCACAAACAAAACCTATGGTGTCAAGTAGCTTGATAGAGTCAAGCAAACTACCTCTCATAATATTAGGGTCCAGCATCAATGCTGCGAGATAGATCGGTCCAATGGCAAATTTATTTCTCTCGATCCAGTGATGCAGTTTTCAGGGGTTGATAACAGGGTGTCCACCGACCGGGAATACCTGGAATTATGCGTGATTTTTTGGTACTTTCCTGTTAAAGGGAACATTCATTATTATCGATTGATTTTTTTCGATACATCGATATTTTATTTTTTGCGAGACATCAGCTGACAACTACGATAAGTAAATATTGTTCTGTATCAACAAACAGTTTAAAAACATTGTATTGAAATGAAACTGTTCTAAACTAACCTTACCTAACCAACCAAACTTGGTGTAACATTTCCAAATCCCGTTTTATATTACTCACATGCATTTTCTGTTATCAAACGAAATTTTGAAATGGTACAGCACATTTGGTTAGTTATGTTAGGTTAGCTTAGAACAGTTGTATTTATGGATCCACATAATTTATTATTTTTGCCTAAACAAGATCAGTTGTCAATTTGTAATTTGTTTGAAAATATTGAAACAGAAGGCCGGAATGGATCGTAAAGGAAAGAAATCAGATCGATAATAATGAATGTTCCCTTTAACAGGAAAGTACCGATTTTTTTAAACCGGGAAAAAACCGGGAATTATGCGTGATTTTTTGTATTTTACCGGGAATTTTCAATTGGCGCGATCGCGCATGAAGATGACGTTTCCATGACCGCGCTCCCGCGTCATAAAATAAAATAAAGTTTCCGTGACCGTAGGAGACGACGACATTTCCGTGACCGCGTGAGACGATGATGATGTCCAAACGGCCGCGGGATGTGTTAGTGATTTTGCCGCGATGACGTTTCCGTGACCGCGGGAAATGATGATAATGTCCAAAAAATATTGCTTCCAGGAAATTATTTTAATTAAGCTACGATCGAGGCAGATGATGATAACTTTACTGTGATCGCGGGATATCTCGTGAGTGGTTAAAGAAAAACAACTGATATTTTGTGTACGGATATACTATGGTTTTACCTATCTTTTGGTGCCTTATGCAAATTTTTACCACTTATAGGGAACGTCCTGTGGAGGATGCAGTAAAAGGTTTTAATGGAAGCCTATGGTAAATGATACATCATTTTAAAGGCCATTTTTTTCTGAGTAAGGAGCCACAAGTTTCATCTCAAAAGGACCACCCTAGCGAAAATGGCGACTGTTTGAAATTTAAAAAAACCACTTATAGGGAACGTTATGTGGAGGATGCAGTAAAAAGTTTTAATGGAAGCCTATGGTAAATGATACATCATTTTAAAGGCCATTTTTTTCTGAGTAAGGAGCCACAAGTTTCATCTCAAAAGGACCACCCTAGCGAAAATGGTGACTGTTTGAAATTTAAATATTCCGTTCCCTATAAGGGGTTTTTTAAATTTCAAACAGTCGCCATTTTTGCTTGGGTGGTCCTTTTGAAATGAAACTTGTGGCTCCTTACTCAGAAAAAAATGGCCTTTAAAATGATGTATCATTCACCATAGGCTTCCATTTAAACTTTTTACTGCATCCTCCACAGGACGTTCCCTATAAGTGGTAAAAATTTTCATAAGGCACCAAAAGATAGGTAAAACCATAGTATATCCGTACACAAAATATCAGTTATTTTTCTTTAACCACTCACGAGATATAATGTTGGTTCCAGACATTTTCAACACCCTGTATAAAAATTGATTACTTGTGTCAGGCAATATTACAGCAATCATAAATTTATTTCTTTACCTGAGAATGCTCTTTCCGATAACTAAAATAGCGAGCTGTGTTAGCGCTAAAACAGCATTGCGAGAGTTGGCACAAGACACGTTGGAAATTTTAGTATAAAAAGTACGACCTGAACTACCTGGAATTTTTCTTTTTTTACTCTTGAATTACTCATGATTTTTTTCTGGTTGGCCTGGTGGACACCCTGTTGAAGGGGAGGGAAAAATTCTCTCTTTTGCCTAGTAAGAACTAAATTTCCCCATTTCAGCTCATTCCAATTAAATTACTCTGAAGAAATAAACTGTAGTTATGATCAAATTTATATTTTCATACTTTTCCTTTAATTAAAGCACTCCTAAATTATATTTTAAAACGTTTTTATTAGCTCGCTTTCTTGTCCGGTACAAATTTTGCAATCAATTTTATACTAACTTCCCGATGAGCTAGACACTTGAAACATAGCTCACAAATGGATTGAGTGGTATTTACTATTCCTAGTGTTTTTATATATATTTTTATATATACTATGACAGTACGCCACTGGCATTACAATGTTTTTTTTTACAATAACATGTAAATTACATTATATTTGACTATAAGTAAAGGGTTTTTATACATCATGTAAAGTCTATTTAATAAGAAATTTTTATATAGGCCTACTGTAATATTTAAATACTTTCAGCAGAACTCCTCAACCTAGTAAGAAGTAAAGCGCTGAATGTTATTTAAATTTTTTCTATATTAGGAGTTTAAAATAACGAAGAAATCTAAATAGAATCTTTATCTGAGGTTTTCACATTTCTGAGGAAGATCACATTTACATTAACAATAATTGCATTTTAGACTTAGTAATAAGACTTTTTTATAACACCTACAATAAATAAAAAAATCTTAATTCATTTTTTTATGCTCTTACTGCTGAAGTTGGGGACCTCTAATGATTGACATTCAAGCACCATTACCATGAGAGAGAAGTAAGGTACAGAGAAAATATTTTATAGTATAAGTTTAAGTGGTGTCTAGCACTAGTTGCTGGTGTCTAGGGTAAAGTCCAACACAGCCCCCTTCACTTTCATGTACTGGTACTCTAAAATGCTCATGGTGGAGGATAACACTGTGCCCTAAGCTATACTAATTTTTGCACAGTGCTCGCCACTCAGGTTCTTCCTTGCTCATCACAAGTATATTTCCTGTGCGATATAGTAGAGCTTAAAGTGCACAGTTGCCCCATAAGCAATTTCCTCTGTACCGTACTTCTCTGTGTTACCATGTAGCTTGACACTTAATTTTATTTACCACCTATGGCCAGACACCCTCTATAAACTTCACCCATGAACGATATAACTGTATGAAGATAATGCAAACTAAACTGATTTCAAAGTGGTGTTTATTATTTATAATGTTTTTCTCTTGTAGACGACTAAGAAGAGGACCACAAAATTAAAGACTCATACTCCTGAAGAAGAATTGTGAATATGTTTATAAGGTCTGTAATTGTAAACAAATACAAAATTGTTTTAAAACTTGAGTTTGGATGTTTCCAAATTAACCTCTTTCACCTTGTACTACTAGCAAATTTATTATACAGCACAGTTGAGTTGTTGAAAATTATTTGCTATTCTATGTTCACAAATGTTAGTGCTACTTCCTCATTTTCTGCAATTAGTTCAAAATATTTTAAGTGTTTTGTCACAAAATATACTATTAATGGGGGAGTGTTTGCTTCTGCCTGGTAGCTTAAAACTTTTTTGTAACAGATTGTATAGCTTCTTTAACTACTGCCAATTGGTTGAATATATATTCATGTACAGTAGAACCCCTCATATCTGACGATGGCATAACCTCGATTATTTTCGACAAACATTCAAATCAACTGCGACGAAGAGAATGTGAGGTAAACGATGGTGAGGGAAAAGTAAACAGCTGATCATGATGTTTTCTAAAAAAGATAATATTATTTTTTGTTGTGTGATTTAAATGAGCAAGGAGCCTTTTCAGAAGAGGACTGCCACTATTTAAACTGCGTAAAACTCACAGATCAGGTTAGGTTAGGTTAGTTTATAGCTTTACTCACCCTTTTTCTTATTTACTGGATATAAATTTATCACAAAAACTCAAAAATCACCTAACCTAAACTGTGTTTTCCACAGTTTAAATAGTGACAGCCCTCTTCTGAAAAAGATCCTATAGGTTTTCACCAAAGAAGACAACAATGATGATTTAACGACCACAGGAGATTTTTAGGGGTTTGTCGCAATAGGCTTATGTGGAAGATGAGTTTAAAATAAATCAACTATCTCACTTGTAAAGAGAGTTATTTTTGCTCCTGATATCTGACCTTTTGGTCGTTCCTTCCATGGTCCTGATATAAGGGGATCTACTGTAACTCACTCACAGCTAACTAACTCACTCACAACTGTAACACACTCATTACATTAAATCAACACTAAAAATGACACTATTCCTCAAAAGCAGATGTTTATGTAGCAAGCTAATTGTTAAAGGTAGTTTCATGAATACTGTCAATGTTGCAAAATTAAATCTTGGAACGAGAAAGATTTGTTTAAACAATCTAACCAAAATGTTTTTGAATTTTAGGAATCTTTAAAATAAAATACACCAACCCTGTACCTATATCTCAACAGGTAAACTAAAGAAAAACTAATTTTTCTTACAGTCATCCGACAAAGTGGGCTTCCTTGCACAGATTATAGTACAGAAAGCCTTACTTTGGTTGGAGCACACCAGTATTCCAACCAAACAACACAAAACTGCATGCTTTTATTATGCACATGATACGTGTATGCTTGAAAATAAGTTGGCAACACTTAAAAGATATTACTTCTACTATCAGCTGGTGGTGGTGGGTTTGGGGGAGCGAGCTGGCGTAGTGGCTAGAGCGCGGGACTTCGGTCCGTGAGGTCCCGGGTTCGATCCCCGCCAAGTCACCAATGGATTTTATCTAAGTGATAATGCCGCAACCCCTAGGTCTAGCCTGAAGTAATGTGAAAAACAATCCCAGGCTCGTGCCTAGCGTCCTAGGACAAAAAAAAAAAAAAAAAAAAAAAAAAAAAAAAAAAAAAAAAAAAAAAACTATCAGCTGGTGCGGCGTTTCCCATTTCGTTCAATGTTTGGATTTAACCTAACCTAAAAACGTGTTTTACAGTGTTTGGAAGACTAATAATTTATATGATTTATAGTAACTTTAGGAAAAAATAATGTGTAATATGAGTGCAAACTGGCTTTGCTGCACTCAAGAAACTTTCCACACTCGCCTCCGGCTCGTGCGTAAACATTTCTCTCATGTGCAGCAAAGTGCCACTTCGCCCACTAGTTACACAAATAACTATTCTATAAGGAAATCAGCTAGACAGGTGCATCTTGAGAGGAATCAATTTTTTACTCCAATTCAAACCCTAAATCTGTTGGATTTTATCCTAGAATCTAGGAAATCTTAGTTACTAGCTAAATTCATTCAAAATTGAAAGTATTTAGAAAAAACTTAGTTGAAAAGTATTTACTTTCTTCTAACTAAAATCTTTCAAAATATAAAGTCATTTATTATTTTAAAAATATTTAAATTGTAGTTGTATATGATTTAAAAGAGTAAAAAGGTTACAAAATAACAAAATATTTGTAAGCATCTTTATTTATCTGCTTTCAGTAATCTGCTATGTAGCTGATTAGGGAATAGGTGAATGTTCTTTTTAGCACAAGAGTTACAGTACAGTTTTTCAAAAAAAGTGCTGCACTCTGATGCTTGGCAGACAGGGTTGGAACAAATGGCACAGTCACCACCAAGAATCAGAAACTGTCCTTTGTTTGGAGGTGAAAATGGGTCTTTCATAATGTACGAGTCGTAGGTAAAATTAATAAGCTTAGAGAATGGTGGTTTTTTGCCCTTGTAATCAAAGTTCTCTGATAAACTGCAAGAAGAACACTTGAAAACTAGCTCTTCTTCTTCTTCAACTTGACTAGAAATCAGGGTTGTCATGCTGAAACAAAATTAAGTACACTTGTCTTTAGCTGTCTTAGTTTCATCAAATCCGTAGGCTACAATCAATTTATAAATTACCGTGGTCTTTGTCTAGGTTATATAAAGGTATGCTGCTTTGCTGAAAATAATTAACCAAGCAAAAATACATTCTCACAAAGAAATGTTCACCACTAAAATTAACTATAGGGTCCAGACATGGTTCAAGTTCCTTAGTAAAAGATTGAATTTTTTTAACTTTATTAAAGAAAGTGGGCCTAATTAATTTCTGTAATGTTTTTTGCCAACTCAAATATGAAATAAACTATTTCCTCAGTTGAAAAAATACTACATACACACACTGAGTTGTAAAAGGTAATCAGCATTCCTTGAAGAAGAGGCCTTTCCTACAAACTCTGGCAGACAGGTGTACTCCTCACCTGGCGAGATATCCTCAAACATCAACCAGATACTAAACACACCATTCTAATTCCTCCGCAGTAAGGGGCCCATCTACATATTACCCAACACTATTTGTAATGTTTTAGAACTAGAATAGGGTGACTTGCCCAGTGAATGACCGCTGCCTATGAATGACCGTTTCCCTCTAAATCATCTATAATAAGAGTTAAATTAAGACAGGAAGTGAAAAATACCTCCGCCGCAGCAATCCTGCAGACTAAGCGAATTTTAACTTGTCTGATTACATTTTTACTAAAATATTTCCACAAATAAGACATATTTATTCCCTATTTAAATAACATTAGATTTAACGAGTGCTTAGGTTTGCTGCTATGGGGAAGGTAAAAAGTGTTTTTTGACCGTACGTCAATAGTATAGGACGAAATAAATAAATTTGCCAAATTTTATCAATGTATATCCATAAACAAGTAAACTACAACAATTTTCATTTTCTCCATAAGAATAAAATGGCAGTTTTAAATTTCACTATTTTTGAATTTTCTTCGTGACTGTTAGGCATATAACAGCGCTCCAATATACTAAATTATTTATTTTTTAAGCTCTACAAAACGGTTTAAAAAGAAATTTCAAATTTTTTTGTTTTTAGGGTCAAAAATGGGAAAACCCCATTTTTACCCCATAAATCCCCCCATAAACCCCCGTTCCCATGGCCCGATTATGCTGGATCGCGAACTCGTTCAAATGAACGTAGGTTTACACGTTGGTACCAAATTTCATCAAAATCGGATCATTTTTGCTCGAGTTATCGCGCTAACGGACATATATATCTATATAAATAAAATTAGAGTTTTGTCTGTACATTGCTTAGAATAATGAACTTTTTGGTTATTTTTACATTTCATAGGTCAGAGAAACCGAATCAAACCTTATCTCAATTTCTGTCTGTCTGTCTGTCTGTCTGTCTGTCTGTCTATCTGTCATTCTCTTGGTAACGCTAAAATACGCACTTTATTACAACTACTCCTCAATAACTATAGCACTGTCCCGCCTGAAACTTATTTTCCAAATACTATACATATATGAGATGGTTTTAGACGTATTTCATCGAATATGAGACAGTTAGATATTTAACAGTAAACCCTTGAAAATCAAGTTTTTGTCGATTTTTGACGTGGAATTTCTGGAAGCCCATGTTAACCTTATGAGAAATGAAATTATTGAATCTTAACAGCTGTTTCAATTAAACAAGTTGGTTCTGTTCTGTGATGTTCAATAGCATTAAAGTTACAAGGATTACCAACAGGGTGCAGCACTAGCACTATTATTTCTTTTACATTTATGACAACAGCTAATTTGCAACCTGGAGGCGAGTGAGCGTAGCGAACGAGCTAACCTGAAGGCAAGTGAGCGTAGCGAACGAGCTAACCTGAAGGAAAGTGAGCGCAGCGAACGAGCTCCAACATACAGGTGAGTGAGCGTAGCGAACGAACTTCAACCAGGACGTGATTGAGCCATGCAAACGAGATCAGATAGTAAAAATAAAAGTAAGCCTACCGTTATAGGATCGACCGGCAGACACAGAGGTAATTTAACCTTTTATTGATTGTCATACCGATCCGGAACAACAAAAAACAACATAAAATGAAGCTATGTATAATAGTTTGGCCAGCATATCTTAAAATATGCAAACCAACTGCTGTTCGTTATATAAGAAGGTTTCAACTGAATATTATAAGATCCCCGTGCGTAGAACGGGTACACAGCTAGTTTGCAACCAAAAGGTGAGTGAGCGTAGCGAACGAACTTCAACCTGGAGGCGAGTGAGCGTAGCGAACGAGCTAACCTGAAGGCAAGTGAGCGCAGCGAACGAGCTCCAACCTAAAGGTGAGTGAGCGTAGCGAACGAGCTCCAACCCAAAGGTGAGTGAGCGTAGCGAACGAACTTCAACCAGGACGTGATTGAGCGAACGAGATCATCTTGAAAATTAAACGTAACAGTAATTTCTTTCCATCTTAGGGGAAACCTATAACTTAGGCGATACGAAGTTCTATGAATTTGAACGGATGGTGTTTTTGGCCTCTAGGGACCTCAAAATGAAAAATTAAATCGGTCCCGCGTCCAGGTCTTACCACGAGTACTACGGTAATAGCTTATTCCCTATATGGGAAATTGCTAAAATTAGTTTAGAATATAGATATTACTCTATTCTTCATATTAAATTGTCATTGTTAATTATTCATGTTTATTGTGATGGTTTATCTTGGACATGTTTTGCATTTTCGTTTTTAGCTTCTGCCACTATAAGATCTCTGCGTGAGGGAAGGCATATTTTATTACCTTAGTTTTGTGAAAAAACTGTTGAAATAGTGATTTCTTTGGATAATATTTAATATTAAGAGTGTATATTAATCTAAAACTATCTGTTTTCATACGTCCAATAAATAAATTTTTATTCAAGCAGTCATGGGTTTGAACTCTAATTTACAATTACAGTACTTCCGAAGTCGGCCATTCACTGGTATAGGACCGGTCATTCACTGGCATGACTTTGGTGTATAAAAAAACAATTCTTACATGCGTAATTGTTCTTTTATGAACACATTATCCACTTACACATTATACACTTGAATACATTATCTCGGCCTGGGTTGAAAATGGTAAAGTTTCATCAAGTCATTTCAAAATGGCGGCTGTTCAAAACTAAAAAAATATGAGGAAAATAATTGTGAATTGTTTTATACAGGGTGAGTTTTAAATAAGTTCCCCCCTACTTTTTTATACATTTCTTAAGATATCAACTTTGAACCACGTCAGATCATTGTAGAGTAGCAAGTACTTCATTTTGACTGGGTTTAAATTTTTAGCCGCCATCTTGGATCCGCCATATTGGATACAAAGTTATTTTTTCAAATGTAAAGGTAGGGTTGTGACCCACCGTTTCAAACAAGACTTTTGAACTGAATACGATGCTGCAATCCACTTAAAAAAATGTTGATCCATTCTAAAGTTATGAGAACTTTTTATAACTTTATTTTTAGTCCATTATAACATTGTGCATTTACAAACTAAGGCCATAATCTCAAAATAGTGCTAGATAAAGATAAGTGGACACCACCATTCATTGTTGACCTATTTTCACTCGGTTATGACGGATGTATTTTTTTCAGCCGCCATCTTGGATCCGCCATTTTGAAATGTGATAAATTATTTTATCCATTTTTGTTATCAAGCTTTCTTGATAAAATATTACAATTATTTTTATTTAAAATGTCAATATTTCAAAAATCAAATATGACAATGAAAAACGGATTGCGGCATTGAATTTAGCATAAAAAAGTAGTTCAAAATGATGGGTCACAACACCACCTTCATATTTAAAATAATTTATCACATTTCAAAATAGCGGATCCAAGATGGCGGCTGAAAAAAATACATCCGTCATAACCGAGTGAAAATAGGTCAACAATGAATGGTGGTGTCCACTTATCTTTATCTAGCACTATTTTGAGATCATAGCCTTAGTTTGTAAATGCACAATGTTATAATGGACTAAAAATAAAGTTATAAAAGGTTCTCATAACTTTAGAATGGTAATGGATCAACATTTTTTTAAACGGATTGCAGCATCGTATTCAGTTTAAAAGTCTTGTTTGAAACGGTGGGTCACAACCCTACCTTTACATTTGAAAAAATAACTTTGTATCAAATATGGTGGATCCAAGATGGCGGCCAAAAATTTAAACCCAGTCAAAATGAAGTACTTGCTACTCTACAATGATCTGACGTGATTCAAAGTTGATATCTTAAGAAATGTATAAAAAGTAGGGGGGGGGACTCATTAAAAACTCAACCTCTACAAAACAATTCACAATTATTTTCCTCATATTTTTTTAGTTTTGAACAGCCGCCATTTTTAAATGACTTGATGAAACTTTACCATTTTCAACCCAGGCCGAGATAATGTATTCAAGCACTTGTGTGCAAAATTTCATGAAAATCGGTTCAGGCATTCGGTCGTTATAGCCAATTCATGGGGACCCAGCATCCTCTTACGGCCGCCATTTTGATTACGTCGTAACGGACGACCGAGGTCCTTAAAAATTGGGGTCTGGGCGGTTTTAGGTTCAGAAACTTGTATACTATAACCACCTAAAATTGCAGCCTCTCTGCCAGAACTGAAATATTTTCCTGCTACCCAACCTGACTACTAGTAGCCTTTTATTGGACTGGATCCAATTTGGAAAGGACACCAACTTTCTTACTAACTCAGATCAGCTGGTTTTTTGGCCAGCCCAATGATCAAGGACAGCTAGGACCAGTTTCAAACTATTGAATTGATTTTGACATTTCTAGGATGAATCGAACCAGCAACCATTTTTTAATGGTATACAAACAATCGGCTAATTACTCAGCCAGTCAGCAGTAAACACACGAAATATGTATCATGCTAATTTAAAAAAATTTGTGTACATATGTACCGTACTTATTTTTTAGATGAAAAAATTCCATCAAAGCAAACTACTTTATTTTACCTTATGTAGACTATCTACTGTCAACTTCTTTTACCACTGCCAAGATCTACTCTGTCTTTAGGGAGTTCTTGAGGCCACCAAAATGGTCTAAACGTCTCTCCCTCAATATTTCCTATTTTAAATTTAATAGTTTCTAAAGCTTCTGTGATTCTCATTAAGCCAATGGCACAATCTCTCTCTAATCCTCTCAGTTTACCGATGGCTGGTTTCTTTTCTCCAGTAACAGGCTCAATAGGAGCATCCAGAGGTATTTCTGCTGATTCTACCTGAGTTTTCAGCACGAGAGGCATTAGTCGCTTCCTAACAACACCTGTATGATGCGTTCTGGCTGTCAATTCTTGACCAATATAACAGCCCTTGTGAAAACTAACTCCATGAAGATAGTCACAATTGGCTTCTAAAGGAAAACATTTTCCAGTGGGTAGCTCATAAATGCCTTCACCAACTCCTAATTTATATCGAAACATGCGATAAGTGAAATCAGAATTTTTCTTATCAATTCCAGATACCCTGAGCCTTTCCACGACATCCTCATTTCTAGGAGAAATCACACGAGTTCCTAACTTTGATAACCTAGGATCAACATACACTAGAGATTGGTTACTAATAGCAATATTGCTGAGATATTTATCAACTGTTGTATTTTCGTAAGATGGAGTAGAGCAAGGTACTACAACCTCTTGTTTAATATTAATTACGTCACTGCCTGGTGTTACGACGGCGCTGGGATTGAAAAGTGCCCATAATTGAAATTCATCATCTACTGAATCAATAGCAACTTTTTTTCTTAGTTTGTACATTTTCAAATGTTTTTCCAAATCTAGCATAGCTTCTTTGTCACACTCTAAGAAAAAAGTATCTTCTTGTTTAGTCTTGTAAATTATAGAGTCATACAATACCCTTCCTTTTGTATTTAAAAACATTGTATACAAACTCTGACAGTGCTGTTCCAAATGCCTAATATCATTAGTCACAATACCTTGCAGGAACGAGATTGCATCACTACCACTCACTCTCAGCAAGCCACGACTTTCAAGTTTCTCCACTTGACAAGTAATACTTGACCACCTTGTTTGAGTTGTATGTACGTTGTTACTGCCTTTTAACTTGAAAAATGTTTTGACCAAAGATTTGGAAATACTTGAAGCCATGCCTTAGTCAAGGAAAGACTGTATTCTTCAATGCAGATCTAAAAAATAAGAACAATTGGATATAGCAATGCATGCTAATCTGCATTATAGAGAGATTCATGAACAATATCAAAATACTCTATCCTTTTCAATTAAAGGGGTGAACTCAAAACACCCCCGCCCCAGCAAACCTGCAGACTGAACCAATTTCAATTTGTCTGATTAAATGTTCACTAAAATATTTCCATAGACAATACATGTATACAGGGTGATCAACTCAAGGAGGCCACCATTGGGATATCGGAAACAGTAAGAATTAGAGAAAACTTTAAACGGGGGACATTCCTTTATTTTTTGTGGCAGTTAAAAATATGATTTTATTTTTTTGAAATTCAGCCGCCATTTTAGAAAGTGACGGCCAACTTTGAAATTTCTTATGGAACACCCTTATCATTTTATGTTTTCGGATAGAACATGCAATTTAAAAACTTTTTTATTCTTGACATTTTTTCGATAACTCCACTCGTTTAGGAGCTACAGTCTATTGAAAAATGACTTCCGATGTACATTTTAAACATCATGTAGATTCTAAACAAGTAGGCTTATAGCAAAAATTCGAAAAGTAAATAAGTCTTAAAATTGCATCCACATTCCATAAAGACCATAAAATACACAGTTTTCCACTTTTCAAGGTTGTCGCCATTTTTGAAATAATAGAATTAATATTTTTAACGAATTTTATGGTCTTTTTGGAATGTGGATGCAATTTTAAGACTTATTTGACTTATTTACTCTTCACATTTTCGCTATAAACCTACTTGTTTAGGAGCTACATGATGTAAAATGTACACCGGAAGTCATTTTTCCATAGGCTGTAACACCAGATTTAAGGTGTGCTTAAGTAGGTTTTAATGCTACAGGGAAGGTAAAAAGTGTTTTTGACCATATGCAATAGTATAGGTCATAGGATAAAATAAATAAATTTGCCAAATTTTTAAACAACATACAGGGTGGAAATTAAGTCTAAGGGCGATGGTATAGCATTAAAACGAATAGAGATGTTTTCTACCAAATTGGGCATATCATTACTGGTAATACTTTTTTGTGTACATGGTGATCGGATGTCACCTATGGGGAATACAGTAAGTTGAAAATCTCAAAGGTAAGCATAGGTTGATATGTACATCAAACTAAAGGTCCTGTTGAACTAAAAACAAAGCCGCAAACCGGGCCTCAAATGGACAATCGAGCCAAAAATGACAGCTGTTCAAAAATTCATTGAATTTGCAATGCTATTATAAGCTACCTCCTCAGGGGGTGTCATAAACAAAAGCATATATTTCAGGCCCGTTTTTGACCCTAACAGCGCCCTAGGCACAACTAATAGTAGCGCCCCTTTGCAATATATATAACGGGTGTACCGACCGGGAAATCCGGGAATCATGCGGGAGTTTTTTGAACCGGGAATAGTGTGAATTTTGTATTTCTACCTGGAGTTTTCAATTTACCGTGATCGCGCATGACAAACGTGACGATTACTATGTCCACACGACGCGGGGGACAATATAATGATGTCTTCATGGCCGCGAGGGGTGGTCAGAATTTGACCGCGATCGCGCAAGTCGAGGATAATGTCCTCACAACCGCGGAATAGATCAGAATTTTGTCTAATTCGGGGTAGACGATGATAATCTCCTCACGACTGCGGGATTGGTCAAATATTACTTTGAGCATGGAAGACGAAAATTATGTTTAAACGACCCGTCCGTGGAAAATAGTAAGAATCTCGCCGCAAACGCGGGAGACAATTACGGATGTTCAGTAAAAGGCCAGCTGACCATATGAGCATACTAAAATAATCCCCACATGTCAACAACAATACAATAGTAAAATTTAAAAAAATGTAAACATTCTGGTTCAAAAAGTGCAATTTTTCTCTCTCGTAATATCGTTTCTTTGTGTAACATCATTCATTTCTCTCTCCTTTTATTTTGACTTGTTTCATTTACCTTTTCCTTTTGTGTGCATTTAATAAACCCTTTTTAATTTGACTCTAAGTTCTGTGTACTGTGAGAACATTTGGACATTCATTAAACATATCTTCTCAACTAGAGACAACATTCGACCGGTCAGATCTTCTTTCAAGACCTTAATAACGTCAAAGTGGTAACATAACTATAGTATAGTTCAGTGTTAAAAATTCAACCAAAAGTCCATAATTATTTTCTGTTGTCAAAATTAAATTAATAACCCATATACAGTCCACTTTTCGGGATCGCATGCAAATACAACCACCAATTTTGTTATGTTTTCCAAACTTTTGGCGCCCCCCAAAAAAGCCAATTGCCTTGCGCCCTAGGCACGTGCCTACTGTGTTTATTCGGTAAATCACCCTGATATATTTATATATTTTTTGTTATTATATACACCAATGATGGCTATTTTAAATGTTACTAAGTTAATTAAAATACCACAGTAACGTACCCTATAAACATTTTATTTTATATTACTTACATGTTTCGGACATTAATGCCATGTAAGTAATATAAAATAAAATTTTTATAGGGTACTGTGGTATTTTAATTTACTTAGTAATATATATATATATATTTATATATATATATATATGCACATACAATGCCGTAAATTTAAGTACAAATGAACAAGAACAACTGAGTAAAAATGGCAGCTGTTAAAACATTTAAAATTGCAGATTCAAAAAATCTTTGAACGACTGCCATTTTTGACTCGGTTGTCTGTTTGAGGTCTGGTCTGCAGCATTATTTTTAGTTCAACAAGACCTTTAATTTGATGTAAATATCAACATATGTACAAACTTAAACTGTAATGAGTTTTACTGGACACCAATCAGCTGATTATAAAGTATTTGGGTGGCAATGAGTGGTTATAAACAAAAACATAATCTCTCTTATGACTGGTGATTTTTAGTCCTTTAGTTGGTGGTAATATATAAGGATTTGTACAGATTTAGTAGTATGGCATAAACTATCGTACGCTACTCGTCCAAAATGTGTTTACCGGACTCGTATGGTAATCCCCTACTCGACTTTGTCTCGCACGGGAACGACCACACTCGTCCGGTAAACACTTCTTTTCAGGACTAGTACCGTAATATACTATTTCCTTGCTATTGTCATGATATGACAACCATGGGTTGGAGCTCATTTTCGCGCATTTGTAGTTGTTTTTTCGAGTTTGTGTTGTGTGCGTTTTAGTTTATAGGCTAAGTGTAAAATTTTTGATACAGACAAATTAATAGAACTTGTTAAAGACAAACCATGTCTGTGGCTGTGGGACAAGAAGCTCAATGAATACTCGGACAGGAGCTGCCAGGAAAAGGTTTGGAACACAAATGGTTTATCCGTTATGAAAGGATGGACCCAATGATTTTGGTTAGTTCCTTTGGTTCCAGCTCAACACACGCTGCACAAGCTAACATAAAGTGTTTTGTCCATGACTACAACGAGTGAATTAAACCATGTTCTAATACAGTACGCAGGCTGGGAAACCCCAACAGGAAGCGGTTCATACGCTCCGTGTGGCCGGGACATTGTCAACGCGGCTTATCATAGCTCGAAGATAAGCCACACAAACGATCCGCCATGTGTGGCCCCGAACTAAAGATTAAATTTTTTTTTTATCCAGCCGGAGGTTCTCATTCAAAAAGTATGTCTAGCCATCATCACGATAACCTACCAGAAAGTACCTCAGCACGTTGTACGAAAATATGCAGGCAGGACTTTATTAGACGACTCCATCTGATAAATCGATTGTTATAGGTAATCACAGGTTCTGGTATGATGTAATTTTTATATGTCTACTTACAGTATTTTTAACGCTGAATCCAAAAATGCAATCAGTTTTTGTCGGAGAGATTCCTAAGTGGCCGTAAAACGAAGGTTAGGATTACGAATCTAAGGATAATTGAGCGGTACTGAAGGTAATGGTAATATGGCGTGGTCTGGACGGATCCGTACTGAGTGAAGAGTGAGGAGTGAGGACTGAGTGAGTAAAGCAACCAACTGTTTATACTTTATCTAATGCGGAATGAAATCAAATCAATTCGTTTTGAAACCAAATTATCAGTTCTTATTTAGGCATGTGAGGAAGGTAGGTCGGGTTTTATGCGGATTTGTGACTGTATTAAGTGTTTTGAAGTGAGGTTAGATTAGGAAGGTAAAGGTTAGGTTATAATGAACCGACTCATTAATTTATGCAACTCCCAGACTGTTTTTGCACTATTTAATTGTGCAATAACAGTCTGGAAGTTGCGTAAATTAATGAGTCGGTTCATTATAACCTAACCTTTAACTTACCTAATCTAACCTCACTTCAAAGGACTTAATATAGTCACGAATCCGCATAAAGTCCGACCTATCTTCCTCACATGCCTTTTCTGACATAAAATGTGATTTAAACATTAATATTAAGGTTGGGTTGGGTTAGGTTGGATTAGATTAGATTATGTAACATCATTTATTAGTTGCTGATGCATTAAATTATGCACTGTGGCACGTTTTCACTTTTAGACACAATGGGATTATGTACTATGGGATTATGCACTATGGCACGTTCATTACCAGACGTTGAGGCATTAGCCAATGGTTGAGGATTGGAATGAGGACAATGATCATGTCGGCAGTGGCCTAGCTTCTATTAGGCCTACTGATATTTAACGTGAATAAATTCTATTTTGTTTTATAATTTATGTTTATGTGATTAATAGTTTATGTATGGTAGTTGATTTATTGTATTTTATAAACAGCACCAAAGTCCATTTTTGAGCGGAGCGAGCGAAGCTCTTATACGTCGACTCTTATGCATTTCGTAATACGCAAACTCCTCCTAGACGGCTGAATCAATCGTTTTCAATTTTGCATGGTGATAAAGACCATATCGGTGAGTGCCAACATCTATATGGCGTTAAAAAAGTCTCTCAGGAATCCGCCCCACTGGGTCTCAAAGTTTCAATGTAATCCTTATGGAAGCAGTATTTGACACGTAAACAAAGACATATGATCAGCTGTTGACTTTTGAATGCAGTAGATAAAGAATTAGCTGATAGCATTATTCCACAGATATTAGAACAGAAACGGTATGGATCATAAATATAATCAAATGACGACACTAGCTTCAGGTCGAGGTGGTCCGTGACGAATCAAGTGGTGAAGGAAGTATTGGAGGAAGTAGTGAAGGTGAGCAGTCTGGAGTGTGGAAACTGTTTATGACGATAAGATTAAGGTACTGTATTTGCATTCCTAAATTTCTATGGGAAGGGAGGAAAACAGGTCCGCGAAGTAGGAAGTGGTGGAGGAAGTAGTCAAGGCAAACTGTCTGAAGTGTGGGGACTGTTTATGGCAATTAGATTAAGGTATATGCAATCCTAAAATGCTATGGAAAGGGAGGGAAACAGGTCCGCGATGTAGGAAGTGGTAAATGAAGTAGTAAAGGCGAGTTTTTCGGAGTGTGGGATCGGTTTATGAATTTTGGATTAAGGTATCTGCAATCTTAAAATGCAATGGGAAGGGAGGGAAACAGGTCCGCGACGTAGGAAGTGGTGAAGGAAGTAGTCAAGACGAGCTGTCTTGAGTGTGGAAACTGCTTATGACGATTAGATTAAGGTATCTACAATCCTAAAATGCTATGGGAAGGGAGGAAAACAGGTCCGCGATGTAGGAAGTGTTGGAGGAAGTAGTCAAGGCGAGCTGTCTGGAGGGTGGGAACTGTTTATGACGATTATATTAAGGTATCTACAATCTTATAATGATAAGGGAAGGGAGGAAAACAGGTCCGCGACGTAGGAAGTGATAAAGGAAGTAGTCAAGGCGAGCTGTCCAGAGTGTGGAAACTGTTTATGACGATTAGATTAAGGTATCTACAATCCTATAAAATGCTATGGGAAGGGAGGAAAACAGGTCCGCGATGTAGGAAGTGGTGGAGGAAGTAGTCAAGGCGAGCTGTTTGGAGGGTGGGAACTGTTTATGGCGATTATATTAAGGTATCTACAATCTTATAGTGCTATGGGAAGGGAGGAAAACAGGTCCGCGACGTAGGAAGTGTTGAAGGAAGTAGTCAAAGCGAGCTGTCCAGAGTGTGGAAACTGTTCATGACGATTAGATTAGGATCTACAATCCTAAAATGCTATGGGAAGGGAGGAAAACAGGTCCGCGAATTAGGAAGTGGTAGAGAAAGTAGTCAAGGCAAACTGTCTGAAGTGTGGGGACTGTTTATGGCAATTAGATTAAGGTATCAGCAATCCTAAAATGCTATGGAAAGGGAGGGAAACAGGTCCGCGATGTAGGAAGTGGTAAAGGAAGTAGTAAAGGCGAGTTTTTCGGAGTGCGGGATCTGTTTATGACTATTGGATTGAGGTATCTGCAATCTTAAAATGCAATGGGAAGGGAGGGAAACAGGTCCGCGACGTAGGAAGTGGTGAAGGAAGTAGTCAAGGCGAGATGTCTGGAGTGTGCAAACTGTTTATGACGATTAGAATAAGGTATCTACAATCCTAAAATGCTATGGGAAGGGAAGAAAACAGGTCCGCGATGTAGGAAGTGGTGGAGGAAGTAGTCAAGGCGAGCTGTCTGGAGGGTGGGAACTGTTTATGACGATTATATTAAGGTATCTACAATCTTATAATGCTATGGGAAGGGAGGAAAACAGGTCCGTGATGTAGAAAGTGCTGGAGGAAGTAGTCAAGGCGAGCTGTCTGGAGTGTGGGAACTGTTTATGACGATTAGATTAAGGCAGTCTTAAAATGCCATGGGAAGAGAGGGAAACAGGTCCGCGACGCAGGCAGAGGTGATAGAAGTAGTAAGGTGAGCAGTGTGGAGTTTGAGAACTGGAAACCGTTTGTAGCAGTTTTAATGTATTTAATGTATTAAATTAATGTATCTTCAATCCTAAAATGCTTTGAGAAGGGAAGGAAACGGGTCCACGACGTAGGGGGTGGTGAAGGAAGTAGTAAAGGTGAGCAGTGTTGAGTGTGGGAGTGGATTAATGTATCTGAAATGCTAAAATGCTACAGGAATAGACTGTAGACTATATGTTAAAATGATTACAGTACGAAGCACGAATCGATACATAGTTTACAATCGAAATTTACAACTGAGTTGACGACAGCTGATTTTTACTCCATAGAGGCTAAACATGATTTTTACTCCCTTATTATTAAAAATGCTAGGGTGAAGTGGGGTAAGTGTAACCACGTTTTGGCATAGTTCAGCTTTGACCTCAAATTGCTATCTTGTTATACATGATATAGTTCTGAAAATTTTTATGCATAATCTTTGACTAATGGGCTTTAAAACAATATGCATTGTTATTAAAAAATAAAATCTTTTTTGGTAAAAAAAAATGACTAAAAATTTTGCGTTTTGTGGTTACACTTGCCCCAGGGTTCGGGGCAAGTGTAACCCCTGCCTGTTAAAAATATATAAAGCATTGAAAAGGAGACATGGGGCAAGTGGCCAGATTCCAAATCTTTTGCTGATTCAAAGACTTTTTGACTTATTAAAATATCTTAATTTTTACTCAAGTTACAAACTTTTTCGTGAACCTCTTCTCGCGTTTTGTGAAAAACGCAAAACATGCAAAACGGAAAGACTACTGTTAAAACATAAAAAACACAACATTAAATGGTACTTAGGCCTACATGGTTTTTAATGTTGTTTAACATGTGTAGAATAAATCTCACAGTAATATTGTTTTTTTTTATTTACATTTGGGCAAGAAAATCCTAAATTATAAAACGGGGTAAGTTTAACGTAAAAGTTATATAATCACTTAAGCAGTTCACTCACAAACAATAATGTTTTTCTACAAACCAACTAACAATATGTGTAAAATTTTACCTTATCTTCTAAATTCCTAATTTTATATTTACAACAAAGTTTTTTTTTCTTTACTGAACATTATATGAGTTACACCCTGGTTACACTTGCCCCGAATCCAAAAAGCCACTTGCCCCGACTGCAAAATTTCAGGGGTAAGTGTAACCACGCTTGTAAAATCTAAACAATAAGAAATAGCACAGATCTGAAATTATATTCAGGTTCTACATGCAAAAATTAGTTTGTAAGCCAAAAACTGTCAAATTTACATTAAAAATGTGAGTATGAAAAATTGTCAAAGTTTGAGGTCGGCACTTGCCGATGGAGTGGAAATGTAAGCCTATTTTAAACATTCTAAAACTATTACTTGCACATATTTTATATGCATTCTTAAGGCTAAATATAACAAAGGAAGGTCCAAATAACAAGATATGATAGTATTTAGGTCCAAAATTAACTTATCAGTTGAGTGATAAGCCGTGGTTACACTAGCCCCCCGGTTACTCTTACCCCACTTCACCCTACTTAGATACCCGCAACGCATGCATTAAAAACCACTGTTTTTACTGCAGTATGACAATTTTTTTTAAACAATATAATATGAACCCTTGATGACTCCGCTCAATTTTGTGGATGCCTTTGCGAACGCCACCTAGTATTTTTAAAATCTAGTTATTGCATATTGTAACTCTGATTTTGCTCTCATGGCGTCGTCTGTGGTTTCGTCTGCTTAGTATAGAATGCAAACAACTGACAGCTGTTTCCACTCCACAAACCTTCCACCCCTTTTAGTGTTAGTCGCCACTAGAACTTGGACTCGTCCATACCACAAATATGTTAATCAATCAACAAAACTGAAGCTTAATATTAATTATATAACTGTACGGCCACTGAAACTCTCCGACCAAAACTTATTGCATTTTTGGATTCAGCGTTAAAAATATTTTAAGTTGGCGACTTATTACAAGTTATCAATTGGATTTAATTTGGTAACATATAAGTAATCAAGAAACTTTTAGGTAATTTATCAGGCTATTACTGTATTATTTAATCTTGTGGTTGGGTTTGGTTACTGTAGTTTTTTTGAGCTGAGCCTAGAAGGGGCCAATGAATCATCACTTAGCCTAAGATCAACCCAATTGGAGATTGGCAGGATTTGGACCAGGGATCTTGGGGAATGAAGTTCCGAGCTTTACCACAGATCCAGCTCGCTCCCTTGAGTAGACTATAGTCAATATATTGATATGATTGAGATAAAATAAGTTACCCTAATTTTGATAGATAACTTAAAGGTAAAAAATGCATTAACTTATAACATAAGTAGCTCAAGTTCAGTACCGGTATTAACGAAAATAGTTTGGGTTTCATTAAGCCCAAGCCTAATTTATTCTGTGTTTTGATACCAAATTGCGTAAAACAATAACTTAGCCCCATGACAATTTATTGCAAATCCTGGTCACCCGGTTTAGAACACCAAATAAATAAATTCTGACCTTTTAAAACATGATTGCCTACTAATCATTAATTTCATGCCAGCTCAAAAAAATTTTATCAGGCCATTGGTTGCTATATTAGCCTAATGTGTTAACTGTATAAGTAGGCCTAACTTAGTTGAAACTAACCTGCTAGCCTAGTAGGAGTAGGCCTAAATGGTGATGTAAATAACGGTTGAAGCAATTTTCAATTTCGACTAATTGGGGTAACATAAAACTATATGACTATTCGAATTCAACTTGAGAATCATAGGAGTTTGTTTAGACCATAATAAAACATAATGATAATTTGTTTTTGTTTTGCTGTAAACACTACTCCACTACTCTCTTTCCTCAGCTCTGTTTTTCAGTTCTCTTGTTCTCTTCTTCTCTTCTCTTACCTGTCGTCTGCACTGAACTTAGCTAGAGCTAAAATAATAACTGGAATGAAATTAAATGAAATGGTTTATTTGCCGTTGATCATATACGTGAGATAGGTATTGTCATAGTGTTAAATTAAATTAAAATAGTTTGTCATAAATCTACAAGTTACAACAGCTAGAAACCAATTTCTACATATGTATTTAAATATTCATAAATATTATAAAATGGATTGTCTAAAAGTTTTGACTATTAATACAACAACAAAGTCAAGCAGTTACCTTATTTTTGAAGATTTTTAGTGTGGTGGTCCTTGCCGATTCATGTAGTTTGATGACAAATTTTATACAATTTGGCTTGTGCGATGTGCCGAATTTTGCCAATCTGTGCTGTGGATTAAATTGAATTTTGTCCTGTTTCGGGTTTCGTGTAGGTATATCTTGCCTGATGGTGAGTAAAAGGTGAAGATTAGTTTTAGTGTTAATTAGAATATGTAGAATGTATAAGTTAGTTGCTGTTAAATTTTCTATTGTCTAAATAAAGGTCGAAAGTGGTCCAATCTATTAGCTCTGCACATGATTCTAAGAACTTTTTTTCTGAATCAGAAGCACATCAGATACGGCCGTTGCATGACCTCAAAAGAACCAGTTCATAAGGCTATTTGCACACACACCGATTTTGAACGGTCGGTAATAAGTCGGTCGATATTTCTTCGGTTCATGGTGCTTGCACACATACCGGATTTTTATCGGCGAAACGACCAGTCTTTGTTTTTGTGTAAAGGACCAGACGGGATTATTGAATACTTATTCCTAAAAGAGTTGTTGCTACGTGGTTATTGTCTGGACATATTAAAGCACCGTAGGATTAAACGTATGTTCTGGATTCATCCAATTATTAAAAGCAGAGAAAAAACGGGAACATTCCACACACTTTTTGAAGAACTAAGGCTTAATAGCAGTAAAATGTTCAACTATTTCAGAATGTCAATAGCATCCTTTTCTATAAAGTCACCCATTTAAAAAGTTATAAACACGCACTACCAAAAATAATTAAAAATATCAGAAGAGCTGCCTTAAATGGAGAATGGTGTAGCGAGAACTGCCGATATGATCAGTAAACAATCGGTGCGTGTGCAAGCTTGTATTTAGTTACGTACGCCACTGCGTCACCGGCACATCCCCGGCACCGGCGGTATGCAGTGACAGTGGCCGGCAGCTCATCGGCATTTTACCGGCGCCGATCAGCGGTCGCGGTCGGGGATAGTGCGGCCGTGGCTGGGTTCACAACGATATGGTAGGCATACGGTTAAGTATCGATCGTCGTAGTATGGAAAGAACTACTATCGAATATCGTAAATCGATTGGCTTCCATAGCGCCAACGCCAACCAGCCGACAGCCAACCAAAACGTAAACAAACAAGTTCAGCTGCTAACTAACTCATGTTTACCAATTTTTATTTTATTTATATAAATGTCATCATATTTTGTAAAAAATATTAAAGACAGACAAGACTTTGACAAATAAGATGAGTGTATTTATTGGACATTATTTACAATCATAATATAATAAAATACCCCCGCCGCAGCAAACCTGCCGACTAAGCGAATTTCCATTTGTCTGAATTGATTTTCAATTAAATATATTTTAATAACATTAGGTTTAACGAGTACCTAGGTTTGCTGCATCAAGGAAACTAATAAAGTGTGTTTTTGAGTAAAATATTGATAGCTTAGTACAAAATAAATACATTTGCCAAGTTTGATCAAAATATATCCATAAACAAGCAAACTTCAACATATTTGACAATATTCTTCATAAGAATAACATGGGAATTTTAAATTTACAATTTTTTAAATTTTCTCCGTTACTAATAATCGAACAAAAATACTTTTATATACTAAATTATTTGTTTTTTTAAGCTCTTTAAAAAAGTCTATAGAGAAATCGGGAAATTTTGTGTTTTGAGGGTCAAAAGTGAGAAAAACCAATTTTTACCCCATAAAACCCCCGTAAAGCCCCGTTCCCATGGTCCGATCGTGCTGGTTCACGAACTCATTCAAGTTTATCCCGCTTTACACCTTTAAACCAAATTTCATCAAAATCGGACAAAAATTACTCAAGTTATCGCGTTCACGGACGTATATATATATATATATATATATATATAAGTCTATATATATATATATATATATATACATATATAAAAATTTGAACGAATGGTGTTTTTGGCCTCTGGGGACATCAAAATGAAAAAGTAAATCGGTCCCGGGTCTAGGTCTTACCGTGCCACCTACGGTAATAGCTACTTCCCTAAAGGGAAATTCGCTAATAAAACATGTGTTAGTTCTATTAGAATAAATAAAGAAGGCAGGCATAAATTAAACATATTAAAGAACACAAATCATACATATTACATCTTTTCCCCTCCAACGGTAAGGACTGCAACTTTAGTCAGAGGGCGGCGATAAGTTCCTTTTGATGTTGTGATGTCTACTATTCGTACTTGGCCATCGTGACCTGGGTAGACAGCCGAGATTCGGCCAAGGGGCCATGTATTTCTTGGGCAGTTTTCCTCAATTATTATTGCAAGATCGTCAATCTTTGGTGGGTCCAATTTCTTGTGCCATTTGCACCGTCTTGAAAGGCATGGAAGGTACTCGTGCACCCATCTCTTCCAGAAGCCGTCTAGGAGTGATTTAACACGAGCTAATTGTCGTTTACACAGTTGGTCTTCGTTTAGGTTGATTTTGTAAGCTTCTCTTAGAAAATGGTTTGGTGTGATTGGTTCGGGGTCATTGGGATCCAGAGAAACATGTGTGAGTGGGCGAGAATTTATTATAAATTCAACGCGAACCATGAATGTCTGAAGCTCTTCGTCTTTTGGGTACTGGCAGCGCATAACACTCCTTAATGCGGTCTTTACAGACCTAACAAGTCTTTCCCAGCAGCCTCCCATGTGGTGCTCGCGGGCAAATGAAATTCCACTTTATCCCGTAGTTCACCACGTCTTTTTGGATCTTTTCATGTTTGAGTGACTTTACAGCGTTTCTAAGTTCCCTATCTGCAGCTACAAAGTTTGTGCCATTGTCGGAATATAATTCTGAGGGAACTGGTCTTCGGCTGATGAATCGTTGAATCGCCATTATACAACTCTCTGTGTTAAGAGAATGAGCCGTTTCGATATGAATTGCTCGAGTCGATAAACAGGTAAATAGGACACCATATCTTTTCTCTTGTCTGCGGCCAACAGTAACTTCGATAGGTCCGAAATAATCCACTCCAGTGTAGAAGAATGGATGTTGCACTTTTGAGGTCCTTAACTGTATCTGAGGAGGATAAGGTTTGGCATTGTCTATGCTACACCTCATGCAGCTCCTTTGAACTTTCTTGGCGACTGATCATACGTTTAAGATCCAGAACTGTTGTCTAGTCATATTGATAACAGTCTCGATGCCCTGATGGAAACATTTCTCGTGAAACATTTTTACGATTAGTTTAGCCGTATGACTTTTGCCATCTAAAATGATAGGATGCTTTTGTTCTTCGCTTATTTCTGGTGAACTATTTATTCTACTCGACATTCTTATTAGAGACTGATCAATGAAGGGATGTAAAGAGAATATTCTACTGGACTTTGGTAGAGGTTTGTTCTTCAGCAGTAAATTCTTTTCTTCATTGAAGCTTGCCTTTTGAGACATTGATATCAAGTTCTGTTCAGATTTTTGAATTTCCTCTGGTTGAAGTTCTGGTATATTTCCAAAATCTACGTTGACCGTTTTCAGTTTCTTTTTGGTAGTGGCGGTAGTAGTTGGTAGCCAAACAAACATGCGGGACCTTAGCATGCTAATAAATCTGTGTACCCATGCTAATACACGTGTCACTTTTTCCCAAGAAGAAAAGTTTTCAACTGTCAAAAGAGGAGGGTTTTCATTACTGTTTACAACTCCGACGAATTTCTTCTTTGTTTCTTCGTTATCCTTGACTTGTAGTGTGGACGGTTGTATTGGCCAGTCACTCGATTCTCGCATTAAAAATGAGGATCCGTGAATCCATTCAGAATGCATGGCTGATGTAAACTTTTTGTTACTTCTAGTTGCAACATCTGCCGGATTTTGTTTTGATGGAACCCATCTCCATTCTTCAGGTTTAGACAAATCTTGAATTTCTCCAATTCTATTAGAAACATACTGTTTGAATTGTCTAGGGTCGGATTTCAGCCAATGCAAAACTGTTACAGAATCTGACCAAAATATCTGACGAGAAATAGTTAAGTCAATGTCTTTTATGATGCTACAAGCTATTCTGCATCCAAGAACAGGTGCTTGGAGTTCTAGTCGGGGAATGGTTGTTTGTTTGAGTGGTGCTACTTTGGCACGTGCCATAACAAGCATGGTCTTGTAAGTACCTCTGGCACATCCATGGCGTAGATATGAAACTGCTGCATAGGCCTCTTCACTAGCATCAACAAACGTATGGAGTTCAACTTCTTCAATTGTTTTGACGTTAAAATAGCATCGAGGTATGGTGAAGCTCTGCAGACATTTTACTTCTTGTAGCCAGTCTTGCCATTTTTTACTATGTTCTATCGAAAGAACTTCGTCCCACGTTATTTTTGTTCGCCAAATGTCCTGAACAAGCATTCTCCCCTTTATAGTAGTAGGTACAACTAATCCCAATGGATCGAAAATGGACATAGCTCCTCTTAAAACTTCACGTTTGGTCGGATACCTTGTTTCAACTAACTGTACCTTTTCGGCGTTCCGGTGAAATGAAAATTGGTCAGTTTCAGCATCCCACCACATTCCGAGGATACGTTCTGTAGGTAGACGACTTTCAGGTTGCAGCTGTTTTGTAGAGTTTGTCTTCAAATCTTCCGGTATTTCAAGTAAAATTTCTTTTGAATTTGACAACCAGTTACAGATTTTAAAACCTCCGGACTTGTGAATTTCTGTTATCTGTTGTATTCTAATTCTAGCTTCTTCTTCTGTAGTCTAGTAGATCGTCCATGTATTCACTGCAGAGGATCGCTTTACTTGCTTCTGGGTAAATTTGTAGAAACCTCTTGGCGTTGCTGTTTACAACATACAAGGCAGTACTCGGGGAACACGTTGATCCAAATATCATTGCTTCCATGATATAGGTATCTGGTTCGTTGTTCGGATCTTCTCTCCATAGAAACCTTTGCGAATCGACATCTTCTTTTCTGATACGTACTTGATGAAACATTTCTTGTATGTCACCTGCGATCGCAAATTTTCTTAATCTGAATTTGAGAAGTACTGCTGGCAGAGGGTTCAAAAGGTCAGGACCACTAAGCAAACCATCATTGAATGACCAACCATTCGCTTTAGCAGCTGCGTCAAATACTAACCTCAGTTTGTCAGGTTTGTTTGGATTTATTACCCCAAAATGAGGCAGATAATACGTCCGGTAATTTATAACATTAGCTTCGTCATCACGTAGTTTTCTGATGTAACCTTTTTCTTCATAGTCAGTGATCTTGGCTTTGTATTTGTTATGAAAGTTTTCGTCTCTTGCCATCTTCATTTCAATACCCTTAAGCCTTTTCAGCGCATTTTCATAGCTCAGTGGATATATAAAGTCTTCTAAATTCCATAGTAGGCCGGATTCATACCTATCCCCTACTTTTTTGGTCGTATCTTCTAAAATCTTGAGGGCTTTTTCGTCTTCAACTGATTTCACATTGTCATCTTCTACTAGGGACACGCCATAATTTTCGATTTCAAAAGAATCTTTGATAATATCATGAAGTTTTTCACTTTCAAAAGACGTTAAAGTGAATTGACTATCTACTCGCCCAATGTGTTCATGACATTTACCGTGCAATGTCCAGCCTAAACGGCTCTAAGACAAGACTGGAGAGTTGGGAGGACCTTCAATTATTTTCCTTGCTAGAATAAGGTCACAGTTGTCTTGACCTATAAGTATTGTAGGTTTCAAATTTGCTGACGGTAAAGGTTGACCAATTGACCGTAAGTGAGACCACTTCTTTTTTAGTTTGACAGTATCCACCATTTGTTTTGGTAAGTCCAATGGTGACTGGGTTCGTACATTGTTTAATGTAAATACTTCGTCCTCATATAACCCTTTAATTTTAACTGTCACAGTCATGGATGTTGGGTCGAAATGTTGGGTTGCATTGGACCAGCATGTCGTGAGGGGTTCAATACTACCGTTGATACTGTTGACCCGTCATCTAAGAGTGCGTAAGTGTCGATCTGACAACTTGGGCCATATAATGTCACTGGACATACTCTTAGTAGAACACGGTTATTAACAACATGACTGCTAATAATTTCTTTATTTTGTGGTTCGCTGTCCTGTTTGGGAAACCTCCTAATTTTGTCAGTATGGAGAAGACGATGGTGAAACAACTTAAACCCATTTATCCCACAAACCTTTTTTACTTTACATTTTTGGAGCTGGTGATGTCGAAAGCAGAAGAAACATAGTTTCTTTTCGACAATCATTTTCCATCTCTGCGATACATCTGCCTTCCTGAAAACTCCACATCGTTCACTTTCATGGCTGTTGAGACAAAACATACAGTTAAACTGTTTGTCTTCGGTAGAATTGGTATAAACCGGCTTTATGTCAGTTTTCTTCTGCCAGAGTTTCTCTTCTGTAGGACGAAAGTAAATACTCAGGATTGAGCATTGTTTTTCCAACCAAGTGGAAAACTCCTTCAAGTCGGGACTGCTTAGAGCATTATTACTTACATGCTCAGCCCACCTGTATTTTAAACTATAGGGAAGTTTGTTGAGACATTCATTTAGTAAGTAAGGGTTTAATACATAATTTTCTAGATGTAATGACTCTGCTGTAGCAGTAAAATTCAAAATATTTGTCGAAAACTCAACAAGACTTGTAGTGTCGTCTTCCTTGACTGAAGGTAGCCTACGAGTCTTTTTTAACATTGACTCCAAAATGAGTTCTGGTCTACCAAAACGCATCTGTAAGGTGTCTTGATAATTGACTTAAGATTTTGACTTGAGACAAAAAGAGGCTTAACCATTCTAAATGCTTCTCCCTCTAGGCAATTCCTTACTCTTATGAGGTTGTCATCCCCACTAAAAAGATAGGCAGTTTTTTCATACGCCGAAAAAAATATCGGCCATTCATCAGGCTTGCCACTGAAGCTTGGAAGTTTTTGACGAAATGAAACAGGCTGTATAGCTTTTTGGAAGGTATCCGCAAGCTTTTGCACGGCTGAGGTCATGATGGCTGATGAGGACTTAAGAACTGTCGGTTCTTTTTCATTCAACCACCTTTCAACCTTGCTTTGCGGTTCTTCCTCATCATCAAGATTTATGCTAAGTCCTACCTTGGTTTCAGATCGATTACTAGGGCGGCTTGACTGTTGACTGCCACACACTGAAGCAGACTCAACAAGCTCTGAAGCTCAGCTCTCACTGTCAGCAGTTGCTTCTGTCGCTCTAGTTCTTTAGCTTCCATTCGTCGTTGTCGCTCCATTTCTTCAACTTGTCGTTGTCGCTCCATTTCTTCAACTTGTCGTTGTCGCTCCATTTCTTCAACTTGTCGTTGTCGCCCCATTTCTCTTTCCTCATGGGCTCTTTCCAATTTCTGTATTTCTTCTAGCTTCTTCAACTCTGACATATGACTATAAAGTCATATGGTTCTTAATTATTATTATGTTGTTTTTTGTAAACAATGTTTTAGTAAACAAACTTACTTGTAGCTCATTAAATGGAATTCTTTATCAAAGATTTAGTTTTATTTTAAAACAAGAAACATGGTGCCGAAACAAAGAACCAGAAATAAGAATAAAGAAAGACAATGTTCTCCATTCAGAGAGGTTGATACAGACACTGATTATGATAAAGATGAGATGAATAATCAAGACTTACCAATGAACATAAAACCACCAAAGCCACTGTTAGTTACCAGTGGTAGTGAAATGACAAAGAAGTGGAATCTATGGCGGAAACAATTTCAGTGGTATACTACTGCTGTCAATTTGAAGAAGAGGACAGTAGAGAAACAGATAGCTACTTTTATGTCAGTACTTGGAGAAGATGGAATTGAACTCTTTGAGTCTTTTGATATTGATGAAAAATCTACTAGCTTGGATGATATAATTGCAAAGTTTGATTCGTATTTTGAAAAGAAATCAAATGTCATATATGAACGGTTTGTTTTCAACAATCTAAATCAGGGTAAAGGAGAAACTTTTAATGATTTCTTAACTAAAGCATGTAACCAAGCAAATAAATGCTCGTACGGAACAATGAAGGATAGCTTATTACGAGACAGGCTGGTTTGCGGAATCAATCATGACAACACTCGCCAAAAACTATTTCATGAAGAAATTTTGACGCTTGAAAAGACAATAAACATACTGTATGTAAGACTTCTGAAGAAGTAGAATTTCAGCTATCTACAATGTCTGAAAAGAAATGCTGCAACGTATATGCAGTTAAAGGAAAAGAAACTTTAGGTGAGAAGCAGGAAGAAAAAACATTAAGCAAAAAACAAGAGGATAACACCTTCACTTGCAGTCGCTGCGGATATCGCCATGGCCCTCGAGCTTGTCCTGCTTACCAAAATAAGTGCTCTAACTGTGGCATCCCTGGCCACTTCTCTAAGGTATGTCGCTCAAAACCAAATAATCGAGTGAAATCATTAAAAACTGAGGACTCCGATGAACATGGTGAAGTATATTCTATTCAACACTCAGGCCAGGTAACTTTAATTAGTTCCTTATCTAACGAAAGAAACCAAAGAGCAGGCGATTGGACTGAACTCTTAATACTTCCTAAGAACCAAGAAGTATTTTTCAAATTAGATACAGGAGCTCAATGTAATGTAATAAGTAAAACTGTTGCATTAAATAGTAGTTTGGAAATTAATGGTTCTAAGATTAAACATTTGATTTCATATACAAATAACAAGCTACCAGTGCTTGGTGAATGTACTGCAACTGTAGAAACAATTAACAAACAACGATAAAAAGTCAACTTTATTGTAGTTGATGGAAATTATCCAGCGATTTTAGGTCGAGATTCATGTCAGACATTGGGATTTGTTAAAAGGGTACATGAATTACACGGTAGCAATCTTGATGAAAACCTATTCAATGGGATAGGGTGTTTGAACAATTATGAATATGACATTGATATAGTTGACAATCCTTCACTTAGAATCTATCCAGCTAGGCGAATTCCTTTTGCATTAAGAGAACATGTTAAGCGTGAGCTTGATTACATGGTAGAGTTAGGTGTTATTAAGCCTGTAACTGAACCTACTCCTGTAGTATCCCCCATGGTTGTTGTACGCCAAAAAGACAAAGTCCGAATCTGCTTAGATCCAACTGATTTGAACAAAAATATTAAACGTCGCCATCACCCACTTCAAACTTTAGAAGAAATAGCATCTAGGTTAAATGGCTCCAAATTTTTCACACTCCTAGATTGCAGAAAAGGATTTTGGCAAATTAAGGTTTCTGAGCGTACTTCTAAGTATTTAACTTTTTCGACGCCTTGGGGAAGGTACAGCTACTTAAGAATGCCATTCGGCATAGCCTCTGCTCCCGAAATATTTCAAGAACGCATGTGCTCCATTTTATCAGGCTTAGATGGAGTAGAAGTTTCAATGGATGACATTCTTATTCATGGCTCAACCATTGATATTCTGGAAAAAAGGACTTCCAAAGTTTTATCTGCTCTCAATATAGCAGGTCTTAAGCTCAACAAAGACAAATGTATTTTCAAAGCACAAGAAATCAAATTCTTGGGACACATAGTTTCTGGAAATGGCTTCCTTCCAGATCCCACTAAGATTGAAGCTATACAAAATCTAAAACAGCCCTCAAATGTAGCCGAGCTACAGCGATATCTTGGCATGGTAACTTACTTGGGTAAATTCATTAATAACTTTTCAAAGTTGACAGAGCCTTTGCGCAAACTACTGAACAAAGGAATAGCCTGGGTTTGGGATTTTGATCAAAAGACAGCATACAAAAAGCTAAATGAAGCTCTTGCGTCACCTCCTTTGCTCCGTTACTTTGACCCAAAACTTCCAATAACATTATCAGTTGATGCAAGCTCACATTCTGTTGCATCAGTGCTCCTACAAGAAAATCAGCCAGTAGCATATTCTTCCAAATCTCTAACTAAAACACAGCAAAGTTACAGCCAGTTAGAGAAAGAGGCCCTAGCAATTTCAGTTGCATGTAAGAAAATTCACGAATATGTACCGGTATGGGGATCACAAGGTCTGGTAGTTGAAACTGACCATAAGCCTCTTGAATCGATCTTTAAAAAACCTTTGCATGACACCCCTCCAAGAGTTAGGCGTATTATTATGGAAATAATACCCTACAATCCAAGAATTGTTTATAAGAAAGGAACAGAGTTATATATTGCAGACACACTGAGTAGAGACTGCATTAATCAGGCAACTCCTGAAGAAGAACTATCTTTTGCAGTAGACTTGGTAATATCCATGCCAAAAGAAAAACTTAAGGAGGCTCAACATCTCACAGAAAAAGAAGCTGAACTTTCCAAACTTAAGCACATCATTCTAAGTGGTTGGCCTGAAGAAAAATCTGAATTGCCAGAAGAGCTATACAAGTATTGGAATTATCGGGGTGAACTAGCTGTTCATGAAAATATAATTTTTAAAGGGGAAAAAATATTGCTTCCCATGCATCTTCGTCCACTTACACTAAAACAGATCCACCTAGGACACAGAGGAATACAAGACTCACTAAATTTTGCTCGAGAATACGTGTTCTGGCCTAACATGACGAACGAAATCAAAAATTATGTTTTGAACTGCAAAATATGCTCAAAGCTCCAAAAAGATAATAACGAGGAAAAATTATTACAGCAAGAAGTACCTACTAGACCGTGGATGGAAATAGGAACTGACATTTGTCACATATCCGGTAATAGGCCAGGAATTTTAGGGATACAACTGCCATTTGACCTAACAAATTCGGACTAAGTGGAAACTTTGCAGAGTTGCTTAGTAAGCCTAAATAAATAAAATATCAAAAGTCCCCATAAATCCCGGCTGTGCTTCAGCCGCCATCTTGGAAAATGGCGGCCAATTTTAACTTTTTTGACAATATTTCACAAACTATTGGTATTAGAGAATTTTTGTAAATACAAAAGTTAAAGAACGTCTAAAAATACATATTTTTATACTACAAGGTTTGCTCTATCTCTAACGGTTACTGGGATAAATAATAAAAATAGTATTAAATTTAAAATTCCCATGTTATTCTTATGGAGGAAAATAAAATTGTTGCAGTTTGCTTATTTATGGATATATTTGGATCAAACTTGGCAAATATATTTATTTTATACTAAGCTATTAATATTTAACATAAATACACACTTTATTACTCTCCCCATAGCAGTAAACCTAGTACTCGTTAAATTTAAAGTTATCGCATTTAAATAGGGAATATTCTTACATTTTTAGGAAGTATTTTAGAAATGATCCAGTCAGGCAAATGGAAATTTATTTTTTGACAGATTAACAATAGTTTTCCCTTATTAATATTAAAGTTTAAGTCCACTTACTATCTTTTCACTACTATGTAACTACTTACATGGTAAGCCTACTTATTAATCCCAGTATAATTATTTTGTCGGTGAATATTAGGAAATTCAACCTTAAAATCCGGACTAAATGCGGATGAGCACAGCCGGAATTTGTGGGGACTTTTGCCATTTTCATCAACTAGGCTTACTGTGCTTAACTGTGCAAAATTTCAATTTAGTCCGGATTTTAAGGTTGCATTTACTAATATTTACCGACAAAATAATTATACCAGGAGTAATAACGTACCATGCAAGTTTTGAGTAGTTACATAGTAGTGACAAGATAGTTGGTGAGCTTTAAATCATAATACTAATAAGAAAAAATGATTGTTAATACGATTTACAAATGAATATCCATTTACCTGACTGGATTTATACGAAAAATTTATCCTAAAAATGTAATATATGTTCCCTATATAAATAACTTTAAATTAAACGAGTACTAAGGTTTACTGCTATAGGGAGGGTACTAAAGTGTGTATTTATGTTAAATATATAATAGCTTAGTATAAAATAAATAAATTTGCCAAGTTTGATCCAAATATATCCATAAATAAGCAAACTGCAACAATTTTATTTTCCTCCATAAGAATAACATGGGAATTTTAAATTTAATACTATTTTTATTATTTATCTCAATAACCGTTAGAGATAGAGCAAACCTTGTAGTATTAAAAATATGTATTTTTAGACGTTCTTTAACTTTTTGTATTTACAAAAATTCTCTAATACCAATAGTTTGTGAAATATTGTCAAAAAAGTTAAAAAAAGGCCGCCATTTTCCAAGATGGCGGCTGAAGCACAGCTGGGATTTATGGGGACTTTTGATATTTTATTTATTTAGGCTTATTAAACAACTGTGCAAAGTTTCCACTTAGTCCGAATTTGTTAGGTCGATTTTCCTAATATTCTTCCACTATAAAGATTATCTTGTTGTTGCAGATTCCTACTCCGGTTTTTACGACATTGTTGAGTTAAAATCTACAACATCTTCAAATGTTATTACTGAACTCAAAAAGTGGTTTTCAGTACATGGAATTCCTGAAACGTTATTATCAGATGGGGGTACTCAGTTCAATTCATTCGAGTTCAAACATTTTGAAAAAGAGTGGCAATTCAATAAAAGAGTTTCAAGCCCTTTGTTTGCAAGATCAAATGGATTAGCCGAACGGTATGTTCAAGAGGCAAAACTCATTCTAAAGAAATGTCTAGAAGAAAAGACGGATGTTTATCTCGCCCTACTTCATCAAAGAAATATACCCCGGAAAAATCTTGGATCTCCAGCTCAAAGATTAATGGGGCGCAGAACAAGGACACTGCTCCCTAGCACAGATACAATTCTGCAACCTAAAATAATTCAAAATGTTCACAATGAATTGCAAAAGATTCGGGAAAAATCAAGACAATACAGTAACAGAACAAAAAAGAACAACTTAGAATTTGAAGAAGGAGAAAAAGTACTGTATAGGAAAGAACACAGAGACTGGCAGCCAGCTACAGTCGTAAGAAAAGGTCCGGAGCCAAGATCATACCTTATAGAAACTCCAGATGGGAATGTTTACCGAAGGAACTCTTGGTTTTTGAAGAAACGATTTTATGACGTGGAAAAACCGGCAGGAGCAAGTACAGTGAACGGAAGTAAAGCTGGAAATGGAGTTAAAGACGTAGATAGTAGAAAGTCATCGCGAAGAATAAATCCTCCCAAAAGACTTGACTTATAAGTGAAGAAGGGAGATGACATATGACTATAAAGTCATATGGTTCTTAATTATTATTATGTTGTTTTTTGTAAACAATGTTTTAGTAAACAAACTTACTTGTAGCTCATTAAATGGAATTCTTTATCAAAGATTTAGTTTTATTTTAAAACAAGAAACAAACTCCACTTCCATTAATCGTCGTCTACTAGAAGAAGTACTAGATTTGGCAGATACTGATGGTTGGTCTTTACTTGGCTTTGGATTAACAGTTTTGTCGTTGTTATTCCCAATTGCTGGAGTATATCTGTCTGGAGGGTGTCTTTCCCTCTCTGATCTCCTTATTGACATGATAAAGTCGGGTTTCGGCACCAAATGTAAAAAATATCAAGACAGACAAGACTTTGACAAAAAGGATGTGTATTTATTGGACATTATTTACAATCATAATATAATAATAAAACATGTGTTAGTTCTATTAGAATAAATAAAGAAGGCAGGCATAAATTAAACATATTAAAGAACACAAATCATACATATTACATATTTACTTAGTTTAGTGTAAAACAGATTGTAAATAAAACTTTGTTAAAAAAACCAAACCAACCAACACCGACAGAAGAGAGAATACAGAGACAACAAAAACTACTAGCACCAGCCTAAAAGAAGAGGACAATTTTTTTTTCCTACAGTTACCTAACAATGTACATGTTCTCTCACTGATTTGAGAAAGCAAAGTGGCCAATTCGCTCATCAGTGAGACAATGTTAACATTGTCTCACTCTAATTACTTTGTCTCACTCCAGATTTGCAACGTGAAGGCACGAAATAGTGAGCGCGTAACATGCAGGCAACGTCGTATGCGCGCGAAATACGTTGGCAGCACTGGCTGTAAATCAGCTGGTCAGCTGTTGTACTGTTGTATTTGTTACTTCACATTAAATGTTACATTAAAAGTTCACTTAAGTGTAAAAATAGGTTATGTTTCTTCACCAATTTATTTGTTTTATGGTAACTGTAGGAAAAGTATAATGTGCAACTCGAGTTCAAAGTACAATTGCCTCACTCGAGAAACTATTCCTCACTCGCCTACGGCTCGTGAGTAAGGATTTCTCTCGAGTGAGTCAATTGCTCACTTTTCTCACTAGTTGCACAAATAACTAATTTTATTATTTAATTAAATTTATTCCAACTTTGTTCCTTTTGATCAGTGTCATGGTGCATGGTGCATTATTATGGAGGAAATATGCAAAGGACATCTAAACGCTTTTAAAAGTAAGGGGGGCGGTAATTTATCTGGCATTAATTTCGTAAGTTACTGGAATATTAATTTTAAAATTCCTCCGTAATTTAAATATATTCATCATGCTGGTTATCAGCCTTACTGTAATTGGATCATAAACATTTTCATTGGCAAATTGTATGCCAGGTTAAGATATTATATGTTGTACTTATTTATTTGCATTCACTCTCACTGTAATATTGTGAATTAAATTATGGCCTTCCGTCGTCAAGGCCACATTATGACGTTTGACGACAGACGAGTTTACTTCCACCATGAGATAGCCGGTGGCCGGTGAGCCAGAGCCGATACTAAAAAGTCGATGTCTGTCATCCGGTAGAAAACAAGCTCGATTCGATATTTAACCGAATGCCTACCATATCGTTGTGAACCCAGCGCTATCCCGCGGTCGGCGTGTGTGCAAGGTCCCGTTCCCGCCTGTGGTTCACTATTGGAATTTGGACGACCGGTAAAAAACCGGTCGTCCAAAATCGGTGTGTGTGCAACGAGCCTAAGATGAGATTGGAATAAAACAAAGTAAGTCATTCTGAGGTATTCATCTGACACAGATTCCCCTAAGCTTCCAAAAAAGATAGCTGACCCGTGAAATATTTTTACAAAGGTTGTTTATGTGAGCATGCCAAGACAGCTTGGAATCAATATAAATACCTAATAGCCTTACTGATTGTAGGTCTAGATTTAAGGAGTTGCTAAGAATAATATTTTGGGTTTTACTTTGGTTACAAAGAAGTTTATTTGTGAACAACCAGTTTTAGAGCATCTCCCTGGTCTTCACTAATTTCTCTGAAGAGCTCTATTTTGTCTGAATTGATGTGTCATCAGCTTATATTACTGACCTAGACCTAGATTTAAGATTCTTTGGAAGATCATTAATATGGCAATTATAAAATACCCCCGCCGCAGCAAACCTGCAGACTAAGCGAATTTCCATTAACCTGATTGGATTTACACTAAAATGACTCCATAAAAATAGCACAATTGTTTCCTATTTAAATAGAATTAGTTTAACGAGTACTTAGGTTTGCTGCAACAGGGAGGGTAAAAAAGATTTTTTTATAAAATGATAATAGTTTAGTAAGAAATAAAAGTATTTTCCAAAATTGATCAAAATATGTTTATAAACAAGCAAACTACAACAGTTGACTTATTCTCCATAAGAATAACATGGGAATTTTAAAATTACAATTTTTTTGAATTTTCTCCGTAACAATTAGGCGCATAATAACGCTTCAATATACTAAATTATTTGTTTTTTTAAGCTCTACAAAATGGTTTAAAAAGAAATTGTGAAATTTTGTGTTTTTAGGGTCAAAAATGGGAAAACCTATTTTTACCCCATAAAACCCCCCATAAACCCCCGTTCCCATAGTCCGATCATGCTGGTTCGCGAACTCATCCAAGTTTATCGCGCCTTACACCTTCAAACCAAATTTTATCAAAATCGGACAAAAATTACTCAAGTTATCGTGCGGATGGACACATATATATATATATATATATATATCTCTATATATAGATATATAAAAATTTGAACGAATGGTGTTTTTGGCCTCTGGGGACATCAAAATGAAAAAGTAAATCGGTCCCGGGCTTAGGTCTTACCATGAGACCTACGGTAATAGCTACTTCCCTATAGGGAAATTCGCTAAAAGAAAGGTCCAAGAACGTATCCTTGGGGTACACCCATTTTGATGTCCACAAGATTGGAGTTGGTACCCTAAACACAGACATGTTTGTTTCCTACCTGTCAGGTAAGACCGAACAACTTTAAGTGATTTCTCCTCAACTCCATAAAATTTTAGTTTGTCAAGTAAGGTATTGAAAGAGGTAAACAATCAAATGCTTTGCTCAGATCTAGCAATGACACAGCAACTGATTCTTTGTTCTCGAATGCATCTAAAGAATTTAATCAACAATCTCCATGACAGCCGATGTAGTTGATCTTCCTCTGCGGAAGCCATGCTGAGAATCAGATAATAGGTCAAGTCTATCAAAATGAGAAGCAGGCTGTCTATGCATAAGAGATTCAAACATTTTCGAGAAGATGGGAACAAATGATACGGGTCTATAATTTTCAGGAGAATACGTGTCTCCTTTTAGCGAATTTCCCTATAGGGAAGTAGCTATTACCGTAGGTCTCATGGTAAGACCTAGGCCCGGGACCGATTTACTTTTTCATTTTGATGTCCCCAGAGGCCAAAAACACCATTCGTTCAAATTTTTATATATCTATATATAGATATATATATATATATATATATATATATATATATATATGTGTCCATCCGCACGATAACTTGAGTAATTTTTGTCCGATTTTGATAAAATTTGGTTTGAAGGTGTAAGGCAGGATAAACTTGAACGAGTTCGCGAACCAGCATGATCAGACTATGGGAACGGGGGTGTACGGGGGGTTTTATGGGGTAAAAATAGGTTTTTCCCATTTTTGACCCAAAAAACATAAAATTTCGCAAAATCTTTTCAAACCATTTTGTAGAGCTTAAAAAACAAATAATTTAGTACATTGAAGTGTTGCTGTGCGCCTAATGGTTACGGAGAAAATTTCAAAAAAATGTAAATTTCAAATTCCCATGTTATTCTTATGGAGAATAAGTAAACTGTTGTAGTTTCCTTGTTATGAACATATTTTGATCAAATTTGGAAAATGTTTTTATTTCTTACTAACTATTAACATTTTACAAAAAAAAAACAGTTTTACCCTCCCTGATGCAGCAAACCTAAGTACCTGTTAAACTAATTGTATTTAAATAGGAAATAAATGTTAAATTTTTAAGTAGACATTTTAGTGTAAATCCAATCAGACATATGGAAATTCGCTTAGTCTGCAGGTTTGCTGCGGCTGGGGTATTTAAAAATTGGAATAACTTTGGAAATTTTTAGGAGGTCTGAGAAGTACCCATGCTGCATGCAAATGTTAAAATGAAGGCCAGGGGTTCTTTGATTATATGAATTGTTATTTTTTTTTTTTATGATATAATTAAACAACCAATAGTAATCCATGCTACGAGAAATTGAAAAAGTTGAAACTATTCTGCAAATTTCTTCTGGAGTGGTATCTTGCCAACTGAAAGGCTCGACTGCTGTTAAACCATTACCCAGCAACTCTGAGACACTTGTATTGGTAGCTGGAATGTTGTTTGAGAGTATTGTAACAGATTCCATTCCATGAAAAAATTGATTGAGCTGTTCAGGATCTAGTGTTGTTTGGTGTATGCCAATTGCATAACAGTGCCAGATGTGCAATTTGTGCATGCAAGAAAATGTCCAATAATTGTTCTCCGTTATGCCAGAACTGCTAAGGGAACTTTTTACATGAAATGCCCATTCTGATGAATGAGGAAGATGAAGAATATACTACGTCGTGGACCTGTTTCCCTCTCTTCCCATAGCATTTTAGGATTGCAGATACCTTAATCTAATCGTCATAAACAGTTCCCACACTCCGGACTGCTCGCCTTTACTACTTCCTTCACCGCTTCCTACGTCACGGACCTATTTCCCTTCCTTCCCACAGCTTTTTTGGATTGCAATTACCTTAATCTAATCGTCATAAACAGTTACCCCACTCCGGACTGCTCGCCTTTACTACTTCCTTAACCACTTCCTACATCGCAGACCTGTTTTCCTCCCTTCCCATAGCATTTTTGGATTGCAGATACCTTAATTTAATCGTCATAAACAGTTCCCCCACTCCGGACTGCTCGCCTCTACTACTCCCTTCATCACTTCCTACGTCGCGGACCTATTTCCTTCCCTTCCCATAGCATTTAAGGGTTGCAGATTCCGTAGTCTAATCGTCATAAACAGATCCCACACTCCACACTGCTTCACTGCTACCCTTGACTACAATGTATCGAGTAATCTTCAGTATAATCTTTGCTCAATAGTAACATCTGATGTTTTCCTTTTGTACTGCATTTTTAATTTGCTAGTATACTGTGGATAGACAACTTACAAGTCTTTTGTTTACTTTTTCCTTGTTATTTAATTCACCCAAGACGGTTACTTAGCAACCTATAAGACTAATGTTAAAAAAATGTGACTTTCAGTTTCATTTTTCTACGTAATTAGATTTTTGCTGGCAGTTATAACTGCAGTAAACTCGTTTTTAGGCCAGGAATAAACTATTTACAAAATTTGAAGAAAATCGTCGGAGCCGTTTTCGAGATCTTTTTTGCAAGCAAGCATACATACATACATACAAGCAAACCTTGCTCATATTAGAGTATAGGAATATTCCATTTCATTTCATTTCATCAAGACTCGCGGCCGCGGTGAAATCATGAACATCTGCCGCGGCCCGCGGGCCGCAATCACGGGGACATCATCATTGACAACTCGCGACAGCGGCTAATTTTTGAACGTCTCCCGTGGGCTGCGATCATGAGGACACATTACCGCCACCCGCGTGTAATTGGCTACCTTTCAACTTAAAGGCTCTGGTTCTCTGCCTTCATATATGCCTCATACTGCCTCATACTACATATAGACTACTTCATACTGCCTCAGTTCTATGGAGTGTAGATCAGATCAGAGTTTCAAACGGCACGGAAGCGCGCGCTCTCCGCCGCGCATGCGCACCACAGTGTTTCCTCCGTCTTCCCACATCCCAGAGAGCGCGCGCCTCGGCCAATCACATCGCCGCTCGCCAGTACGTTGGCCCGCTTACCTTTTACGGCATTACTGACTGACCGTCGCGGCGGCAGGTTGAGTTCGCGCTTAGGTACAGAAGTCGCAGGGCTGATATCGGTCTCTTTACGTATGTCAGTGTCAAATTCACGGTATCCGTGACGGAAATCTTAGTGCGCTTGAATAAAGTCGTATTCTCTTATGTTTCAAAATAGATAACAGCTTACAAACACATTCAGAAACTAAATAAATTGTAATTTCAGGAGAAACCTAGAGAAAAGAAACATACAAGAAAGTGTCCTCGTTGTGGAGCTTACATCCGCAAAGTGATATCAGTGTCTTATCGCGGCCTTATCAGAGTGACGCCAGTTCGGTTGTGTTCGATATGAAATTGCTATGTGTTTAAACCGATTGAGCGCGAGTTTGTTCGAGTCTCACTGAAAGTTGACCAAGTGTGTTAGTCAAGATGATGGCCGACGGATATATTATCGGAGACGGGTCCTGGAACCTGCGGGTCTATGTGACAGACCTCCAGGTGGAGAGATGTCTTAGAGTCAAGGGAGAACTGCACATCGGTGGAGTCATGCTGCGGCTTGTGGAAGATCTAGGTAAGCTAGTGGTTACAGCTACAGCTCAGTAGATTCATCATCAGGTTCTGCCTACTGTACAATACATTGCCTATCGTTGTTAGCTAACTTATTAATACTATCAATGTCTGCGCGAATGTGTAAACATGTATTCAAACAACATACCAGAGCGGCTAGCTGCATGCTAACTGAGAAACAAACTTAACGCGGTCAATATTCCTATTCAATATTCCTTTAGAGTAAACTTTTGTTTAGGGCGTATTTACTCTTTTACTTTGGTATATCCATTTTTTTATTATATGTATCGCCAGTCCAGAGCCTACATAGCTTATGTTTATATAGCCTATAGACTAGAGGTCGTCCAGTGGTCGAAAACTCGACCAAAAATATGTAATGTACTGTACAGACATCTCACACCACACGCTGTAAATAAAACATGTGATTGGGATTTCTTCCGTTTGTTTTGATTTTACTCACATTCTTTTTATATTTCATTGTTATTTCGTCACCAGGATAGCAACCCATGAGACCCATGTTATTTTTTTAATTATAAAAATAGTTTTTGTGCTTATTTTAGAGTCTATTTTAATTTATAAAAGGGTTCTGCACGTCCACAGGAAAATATCTTTCTAACAGTATGCGTAGATTTTCCCTGCGATGCACACGAGCTGAGAATAAAGGTTTTAAAGAAACATGCTCGCTTATTAATATATTAGATAACACTTTATGGTTGGCGTATGATTTAGCATTAGTTAACTCTTAATGCATTAGGTCCAGATGGTGTTTATTATGGGGTAGCGAATTTTTATCCCCCTGGAATTTTACCCCCTGGGCAAACGTGACGTCACAAACCAGGGGGTAAAATTCCGGCCGCGAACTTTTGAGTTTCGCGACATCAGCTCGATGGATTAAACGCGGAATTAAACATACATTTTCATGGTTGTGAATTTAATCAGAACACATCAAATTATAAAAACCTAGAGTGTACGGCCCGGATTTTTAACCCCGGAATTTTACCCCCGGATTTTTACCCCCGGAATTTTACCCCCCAGGATTTTTACCCCCGGAATTTTACCCCCGGAATTTTACCCCCGGAATTTTACCCCCTGGCCAGATATATAAATTAGTGAGAATGATTAATTATCTTCATTCTGTTTTAATTTAATAGTTAACATTTTATTATTAAGTAGCCTATCTTAATTTATTTGTAACATCTACTAATCAAACAGGTTTTTTATTTTAATTTTGAGATTCGAGTATCAGGATTCGATCTTTGAAGCCAACTGTTAAATTAATATGACGTATAAACAAACATAAGAATGGTAATTGATTCTAAGATTTCTTTAAAGATTTAGGCCTATTATACAACCGTGGTAAAGCAATGTTTTTCGTTTGTATTGTAACAATAACAAAATATGCCTTGTTGTTTCTTTACGAAGAAATGCTCACCAAATTATCATTTAAATGAGCTAGGTACTCAGTTTAAGTTACATACTTATTAACCAACAGTTGGCCCCAAACGCAAATCCCGAACATCAAAATTAAACAGCGAATTATGTTTACTTAGTTGAGATTACAAAACAAAAAAATAAAGATAGGCTACTAAATAATGAAATCTTTACAATTAATGAAAAATAGAAATAAGAAAATCAATCATTCAATTTCTAAAATCGGCCAGGGGGTAAAATTCCGGGGGGTAAAAATCCGGGGGTAAAATTCCGGGGGGTAAAAATCCGGTGGTAAAATTCCGGAGGTAAAAATCCGGCCCGTAGCCTATATCTTCAGTTGTCTAAACGCTAGTTATATGGACAGGGGGTAAAATTCCGGTTTTTATCGCTAATTTAATTAATCACGCTCTGGCTATTTTCATTAGACACGGGGGTAAAATTCCGGCCGCGAACAAACTTTTGGCCACTCAGGTTACTACGTCATAGTGACGTCAGCTTTGCCCAGGGGGTAAAATTCCAGGGGGATAAAATTCCGGCGACCCTTTATTATGATCAAGTTCAACTTAAATTCTGGGAAAATGTACATAGCATATCCATAAATCGCAAAGTACCCATGAACTCTTGAGAAAACTATAAGTCCCACCCCTATAAATCATAATACACAATATTCGTCATGACGAGAAACCTTGTTCAAAACTATCCTATTATTTCATAAATTGCCCTTTAAGGTCGTAATTCCTTTCTAAAGGGAACTTTTCATATAGGTACCTAATAATGTTAAAAAATACCCCACCTGTACTTATTTGTTTGTCATTCTTTCATTTTATTACCTTATTAAAATCAGGTGTGATTATTTGTTTGTATTACTCATTGAAATAGGTAAATATTTGGGCCTATTATATATCAGTGGTATTACTGTATTCTGCTTTGTTTATTTCAGCTTAACTTAACCAATCAATACCTAGTTTTATTAGGTAATACCTTTGACTATCAGGGTAATACTTATGAAGTCAAACGGGGTGAAGCCCGTGGGTAACAGCCAGTTATTGTAATGAAGGAATTCTAAATGTAATCAGGAAGAAAATAAAACAAAAGCATGTTACTAATTACATTTGGCTAGTTTTTGGACGTAGCTATACTATTATTTAAAAATATAGTATATACCCGGTACTCAGCGTTTCTTAAAAACTACCTAAGGTTTCAAATTGCATTATTTCTAAAGCATGATATTTCTTATCACTCTTGGCTAATAATATAGTATTTTTTATTTAGCAGTATAGAATTTTCGAGTATAAACACCAAATTTCCTCCTAGGGGGAATAAATAAGTTCTTATTCTCATGTCTATGGTTTCATCGATGAAGATTTATTTTAGAATACAATAAATTGTAATGTCTTTTTGATGAACACATTTTAGAATTTACTGTAGGCCTACTTCAAAATTAGTTGCAAACTAGAGGTAAGTGGTAAATCCCATTGAAAAAGTGCGGCCCATTCAAGTATTAGGCAGGCAGGCATAGTAATCATACAACTTAAACTGTTGTCACAAGAGGGCAGTGTGAGTGTGAAGAGGAAGCTTATGTCAATAGACAAAGCCAGGGGGTAGAGCCTGGACCCGGTTTGTACCGTCACCACGACAACCCTGACCTGCCCTGACCATGTCACGACCTCTAGACACTAGACAGTTACTGAGGATGTAGCCATCTACAGCCTTATTGGATGGAAACATATAGCTAAAAGTCAATACCGCTAATTTCAACAACTCTAGTTGAAAATATCAGTCAGCAACTGATTAATAAACTTCTCACTGCTCACACTAAGTTAAGATAACTTTGAATGCAGCATCACACAGTGCCGTCAAGGAGAGCACAGAGCACTAAATAAGAGAGGACGCCTCTCATTATTATTTTTAGTGCTCTGTGAAGGAGAGGCATCAACAATGAGAATGTGACATTGTTGTACAACTAGGCCTACTATTGAGCACCGTATTCCAAACAATGCTAGGAATAACAACAAAACTTATCACAACTTGCATAAATTTGTCTGAATGATACTTCGCTGTATTCAATTTCAGTATAGCCTTTTGAGTTAGCTTTTAACGCCATGCAGTCTTTACTTTTTGAAACGGTACCCATCTTGAAATGTTTTGCGGGGTTGTAGCTATTTGTATACGAGTAGGCCTAAGACTTTTATGAATTAATACTTTTGTGAATTAGTATTTATGGCCATCATATTATGTAGACATATTGCGTGGAAAACTAGGTTATAAACCATTCATGGGTTAAGTAGACTACCGTATGGAATTGTTAATATAATATCTTCAGATATTATTATATAGGTCTTACAGTATCAGCTAACAAAATCCATCTCCTAAAAAATATGTAGCCTATTATTTTCGAATCTGTTTCTTACGCTTCCTTACGGATGTTTTTCCTGGAAGGATGATGAAGGACTGATTTGGTCAGGGCTTTAGGGTCGGTTCCCCCAACCAGCTGTTTGTCTTTCGGTATTTTCGGCCCAAGCCTTTCTTGGAACGGCCATAATAAAGGAGCCGCGGAGCCGCCTCCCCTTTCGGATAGCTCGCGGGTTCGATCTTTTCAACAGCTTGCAGTTTCATTCATTCTCACATTCCTTCTTTTTTACGCGATTTTTGAACAAATCATTAGAAGTAGGTTTTACTTAAATATAGCTACCATCCATGTCAACTGCATTAAATAATTACAATACGGTATCATTGAGTCTTATACCATATACAGTATTGCCCACTTGGCCACTGACCTATTTATATACACAAATACCCCCGCCGCAGCAAACCTGCCGTCTAAGCGAATTTCCATTTGTCTGAATTGATTTTCAATCAAATCTATTTCAATAACATTAGGTTTAACAAGTACATAGGTTTACTGCTACAAGGAAACTAATAAAGTGTGTTTTTTATTAAAATACTAATAGCTTAGTATAAAATAAATAAATTTGCCAAGTTTCATCAAAATACCTATATCCATAACAAACTACAACATTTTACAGTATTCTCCATAAGAACAACATGGGAATTTTAAATAAACCATTTTTTGAATTTTCTTCGTTACCAATAACTTTACAAAAACACTTTGATATACTAAATCATTTGGTTTTTTTTAAGCTCTTTAAAAGGGTCTAAAGAGAAATTGGGAAATTTTGTGTTTTGAGGGTCAAAAGTGAGAAAACCCAAATTTTACCCCATAAAACCCCCCGTAAAGCCCCGTTCCCATGGTCCGATCATGCTCTGGTTCGCGAACTCATTCAAGTTTATCCCGCTTTACACCTTTAAACCAAATTTCATCAAAATCGGACAAAAATTACTCAAGTTATCGCGTTCACGGACGATATATAAAAATTTGAACGAATGGTGTTTTTGGCCTCTGGGGACATCAAAATGAAAAAGTAAATCGGTCCCGGGTCTAGGTCTTACCGTGCCATCTACGGTTATAGCTACTTCCCTGTAGGGAAATTCGCTAAAAGCAAGCTTTCTTGCACTGGGCCTATTGACTTATTGTTGTTTGTGATAGTTTTGCTACTGTAGCCGGTGGCCAGT